TAATTCTTGATGCTGATAAAAGTAAATAATGAATTTGACTCTTGGTTTTCACCATTGACTGGAAATGGATCTGGAAGTTGACTTCATATTGTTTATGCAAAGACGAATCCTGTAATTCTATTTTTAATTTCTTCTTCTTTCAAGAAATTATGCATTTTTAAGAAGCATTAAAATTGAAGATTTATTCTAAAAGAAGGATGCGTATATATATGGAGTTGCTATATATGTTTATAAATCTAAGGTGTCTCCCCACTATTGCATGTAAACTTAAGTGGTCAGTTTATATAACATCTCTGTATTAGCCTATAATATATTCGAAAACATAAAAAGAAAGAAAGAGATTCACTCGAAATTGAAAATATAAAGAAACCCAAAGAGATTTTGTTCACTTAATTAGATAAAATAAAGATGTGTGCAGTGTGCTTCTGTTGTGTGTCTTCTATGTACAAAACACACGATGTCACTTAACTTGTTCAAGTCTCCACGTGCCTGCCCATCGATCATCTTCAATTTTTTAAGAATATATAATTCTTCCACTTCCAGAGTGTCTTGGGCCGTGCATTTAAAGGCTTCGTGAGCTTTGAAAATATCATTCTCTTTGGTATGGCTAATGAATCTTGAACAACAACAACAAAATTGTAATCTTCAATCTAGCGTTGGGCATAAACATGGTACAATTCTCTAAACGCATGATCGTTTGATTCAAATAAATCAAACTGAGAGAAACGTCATACACTTATAGATGTGCACATGCATACAATGTTTTAGGCGTAAATCTCAAAATAATATTAGCGTTGCATTCATCAGCACAATCAAATGAAACATCGGTTTTGAATCCCTAAATATATTAAAACCAACCTTTGTAAATATAAGCTTTTAATTTAACAAAAACTTATTAAAATTTATACCAAATTGTTTATGGTTCTCATAATATCAAGACCGGTCATGTTCATCGTTAACATGTGTATAGAAACATTTTCTGATAAAATAGTTTTCTTACTTATATGGAATATTCCGGATTCACGGTATTCTCTACCAAAAGAATAATAATTGACAATGTTTAAACTATTATTTCGTTTCTTATATTATGTGTCAATGTCACGGATCAAAACAGTTAGTAGAATATCAAAATAATATGATAAGTATAATAAAAATGTGATCCTAAATGAATGAAAGATATCGAATTGAAGTTTAAAGAATTGAAGCAATCATGGGGTCAGCCGCTTCCTCTGAAGCAACATAATCCCATTCATACATGAAATGAGCTGCCCAAACTTTCTTATTACTATGCCCTTGCAATTTATGAAACCTTCTTTTTAAAATGAAATCATATCCAAAAATCTTGTCATTGCCACTTCATTTCAATAGCATCTTAATAGCATGTCCCCCTTGTCGTTTCCTATTTCGTTCTTTTTTGTGCACCTATTTTTCCTTTCGTTTTAGTGATGAGAAAATCTCGTTTCCGCAAATGTTCAATAGAAAAAAATGTAAGCAAACTAGAAATCTAACTGTATTACTATGTTGTATCCATCAAACCAACTGTAATCAAACGTTCCTACGAAAATTAGATACATGGATTACATAGTTAAGTACTAAATCTAAAATTACTATATATGTACGTTACTGCAGATGTGCATATATATACCAACCCTTTTGAAATTCTTGTGATATTAGATAGTTGATCAGTCGAGTTTAGTGTATAATATATTATATAAAAACGTTTAAACTGACGATAAATATGAAACCATGCATAAACAAAAAAAACTTGGTCATTGCCTCTTCATTTCAGTAGAATCTTAATTAGCATTATCAACAACTCTTTATAATATAACTCCTTATATATATCATTTCAATTACACAATTGTGTTTACGGCTGCTTCATTGGAATAAATAGACTTTTGTTCTACACTTTCTAGTCATGAAGAAAACCTCGATTTCACACTTACATGGTCACTAGAGAAAATGTAAGCAAAATAGAAAAGTTTCATATAATTGTTTTCATCCAACTGAAACCATACTTCCCAACGAAATTAGGTATAAGGATTTGGATCCTCATGGCGCTATGATTTTGACACTATAGCTACACATATAAGTATTAACTTTAATTTCATTATGTTCTTTCGCAAAAGAAAAAAACTTTAATTACGTTGATGTAAATTATGCGCATACACCTACTCTTTTTGACTTTCTAGTTAGTTGGATCAATCGAGTTTGGTGTATAGTATATTCTACTATATAGAAACGTATTAACTGACGGTAATTTTGAACAAAACAGAAGAAACATACAATTAATGATTGACTGTGAATTGCTTTTATATAGCGTGCATGTGATACTGCAGGTGATGCAACATGGGAAATCATATCAATGGACGAAATTTCAAACTCTATTATTATCCTTCCTCAGATTGGTCACGCAACTAATAATTAGTTTAAATTAAACTATATGATCACTATGGATACACACTATCATTGAGAATCCGTTGATGTGGGGCAGTTAAACTTCCACATGTAGTTCACTCGGGTCGTATACACATGTGCTGGTGGTGTTTCTATAATACGTATGATTATTAATATAAAACGAAGGTTACCTGAAAGAAAGGTCATAGACTCATAATCCTGATGTGTGTAACAGATGTGCGCTAATATAATGATGCTTCAAATGCAAATAAAGTGCGATGGACATATTTTTATAGACTATATATATGATAGGGTTATTTACAAGGAGCTCAGTTTGGTTTACTATTCGAAGATATTACAATGTATAGTTCACGTTGATTAATAGTCCAACTAGATTTTGATCCGCGGAACCGCCCATGTGTTTTTCTAAAATGAATTGAAGAAGTTGTAAACTATATCGGTTGCATATTACGGTTTTGCATGGTGAAACAATCAAATTGATATCATAGATAAGTAATTTGTAATTTGATAATTCTATACAAAGCATAAAATTTATAGTGTTATTGTTTGTAAAATAAATTCACCTTTTTAATATATGACGTTTTAGAGAATTGTTTTCACTTCAAATAAGATTACATTTTCAATTTTTAATGCAAGTTTATTCATTTTCTATTTTTATAGAATTTTTCTAATTTCCCGTTAGCGTTTTTCTTTGTAGAATTATGATTAGGTGAATATTTAATGATGTTTTGGTTAGGTGAATATTTAATTTTGTCTGAACAAATCGAATTTCAAAGTAAGAAAATTAAAAATAGTGTAATTTATTTGATTATATATATTAGTACGTCTATATTTGTAAATATATTTGTTTCACAGAAATATGCTATATTTTTCTTAATTATATAAATTACAATTTATTTATATGTCATATTATTTTCAACTTAGATTTATCGTTTGAACAATATTCTAAAAATGGTATTAAATATATATTATTAAATATATTTAATTTAGGTATATGATTATAAACGAATTCTACTATATATTTTAGAATTGTATTAATTTGATAAAAATGTTAACAATATCAAAGAATAATCATATATTGTGATATATTTTTGACATCATCAAAATAATAACATTAATCATATGCTATGATTGCATAACATAACACTAAAATAATATACACGATCATATGTATATATAATCCATATATTATGATTGCATAACATGTGATTTTTTTGGTTAATGGCATATCTACAAAATATTTAATGAGCTTAATAATTATTTTTATATATGTTCTTAATAATTATATATGTTCTTAATAATTATTCGATTAATAGATTAAAATATTTTCTAGAAATCAGTTGGTATATTTAATTATATCTAATTTATTGGTTTTGAATACATATTTTTATTTTAGTATAGTAATAAATTTGAGATTTTCTTAAAAGATAGTATGTTGTTGGTTTGTTAAGATATTAATATTTGTGATTATATTTATTATAAAACTAAATGTGAGGATAATCAAAATGTGATGATTTTTTAAGAGATTGTTCAAATGAAATATCACACATGAAAAAAAATTATGACTTCTGTTTTAATATATAAGAAGATACGATTTCATCCTTGTTAATTACTATATGTGCATTAAAGCATATTCAACCACATTTCATATTTTACTTCAAATGAAATTGGACTAAGAAATGGTCTCATCCTATTCTATTTTTTCCTTCATAATGGAAAAAAATAGATTTAGTTTGTATACAGAATAATATTTTTTTCATTCATTTTCCCTTCAAATAATATATTAGGATTGGGTATAAATCAATTTTATTTTAGCATTTTTGAAGAAGTAATAGAATATTATATTGGAGATGTTCTTAAACAACAATAATACAGTAATAGTTTTTCACGGTATTTTATGTGATTCTTTGGATTATAATTGGTATTTATATAGTTTTATGGCCTATGCATATATGAGTATCATGGTCAGTTCAAAACATAAACAAAAGAATATACCACTTAGGATATCATGATTTTTAAGAGATAAATTTAGTTGTATATATGGTCAATAAAATAAAAATTTGAAAATGTCGGACCTGAGAATATTGGACTTGGCATCAAGTTCAAAATTTAATTTGTTTGGATTTGATAAGAGGATAGAAAAATATATGCAACCCAACCCACATGATTTAGTAACTTTCTCCCTAAATTCAATTATTTTTTCAATATAACTAATTAACTATGCATTTTGGCAGTATACCTACTTAGAAAATACGGATTTAAAAAAAAAAATAACAGAAAACTACTACTACCTAGAAAAGAGTGAGAAACGGGTAAGACTACAGAGAAATATTCTAGTAACTGCCGCAGAATATATCGTCATCCTTCTTCACTATTTACAATTATGACCTCCCGTTAATCTCGGTGAAACATCCATATCAAGAAAGAGAAAAGAATCTTTGTCAAATTAAACCCCGAAATCACGCTTAAAATTACATAAACCAAACCGAAGCAATTTCCATATATAAACACCTTCACAAGAGTTTCAAACCGGGTTCTTAAACCGGCTAAAAAAACAGGAAATTGCAACAAAACAAATTAAAAAAAAAAAAAAAAAAAAGCCCTAAAAAATGTCGCTAATCTTTCTCCCCTTTCTTCATCATCATCCAGAAAAAAAAAAATAATACGCATAGCTATGTACATCATCAACACGACGTCGTACTGCATCTGAGCCGAAAAAAAAAATAACAACCAGATCCATTCTCTCTAACTAACCAACCAAAGATCCCTCTCCTGTCAAATCCTCTCGTCGTCGCCGATCAGATCTTGAAGATCACTCGGCACCGCTAATCCGAGCCTAAGCGACTCCATGATCCGCTCGAATACCAACACGTGGCAGGGAATCTGCAGAACTCCTTTCTGTTCGTAACCGTACTCTTGAGCCGATCGGTTCAGCAGACCGATGAAAACCGGATGGTTTAGCAACTCCGCGCTAACGACGAAACGCTCCATCTCGTCTCCGACGTAGACAGGCACGTGGCCTTCGGGAACGGAGGATGCGTGTTTCTTTGAGCGGCGAGGGGGAGGTGGACGGCGGCTAGGTCGCTGCGAATCGGAGCGGAGGAGGCTGTAGTGTGCGGAGTCGGCGACGCGGGAGAGGCGGCGGATCAGATGCTTCATCTTTTGGTGTTGTTGTGATTTGAGAGAGGGAGGAGAGTGGTGAAACGAATCGATGAGGAGATTTTGTTGGGAAGGAGAGTGTGAGGAAGGGTTCGGATTTTATATAGGGGTGAGGGTAGTTTGGGAATTTTGGGTTGAACATAAAGTAGGTACGGGGAAGGAGAGTACTTGCCAGGTACACTTGTGACTCGTAAATTTCCACTGCCTTTCAAAAATAAAATTGAATGTATATATATATATATATGCCGAATTATAAACAAAATATATATATATATATATATATATATATATATATATAAATGGCCAAATTTTTATAAATATCTTCGATTTAAAATGAAAAGATAATACTTACTCCTTGATATTCTTTTTCTGTGTAGATAAACTGTTTGGATTTCTTGATACATTTGAGTTTAAAATACAAAAATCGAACTTCTAAACAAAATGGGAAAAGATTTTTATTTACGTCTGGTTGTGATTCTCTTAATTGTTGAACTAACGTGTTTAATTCGTTTGGATTACAATAAGAATCCTGCATTATCCTAAATTGGATGTATCTAAATAATACAAAATCAAAGTTTTAATTTATTATGTATTATGAATAGTAGGATTAGGATACCAATTAGTTTAGCCTTGTCTTGTTATTCTATCAATTATTGGGATTATATGTCTTTTTAGTATAGATTGTATCTTGAGTCAAATGACAAATTGACAATACCAGATTAATGAGCAGCTCAGATTATATCTTCCCAATGTTGTAACACCAACAAAAGTTTATTTTATCCATAAAAAGGCATTAACAAAATTACTGGTTAAGTAGTTTTTAGATAGAAAATATCTTCTCTATTAAAAGAGAAGTACCAAATTTATCTACTATTTAGAAATCGTGTTGGATTATGTCATTAATTATTTAATTTAACATATTTGATTTTTATATTAACAAGTCAAATATATATTATTTACAAAATATCTTAATAATTATTAAGGCATTAACAATAAATAAATTTGAATATAACAAAATATGTTGAAAAAATCTAACAAGATCTTACCAAAAAGTTTTAATATTTTTTTTTGTAAAATAAGTATGTCTTTATTATGTTATTAAATATAATTGTAATTAAAACTAAAATATAAATTATATATTTGAAAATTTTAGTTATATGATTATAAAATGAAAAATATACCCGCACGGATGTACGGGTGAAACTCTAGTAATAAGATTATTGCTGGTAACAGGCAAGAACTGATGATACAAGAAGCCAAATTCAATAGTCTTCAATCTAAGCAAGAACTATATCTTCAGGTCATATTTTGCTTTAAATACACATAACAGTAACAACAAAACTTGCTTTGGATGTTATTTATATTTATCTCAATGGATGGTGATCTTAGATTATGTTGTTAACAACGTTCGTTCGCTTATCTTATTCAGAATATAGATGATAAAAGGGCAAGGGATACATCGCCTTGTTCTTCAATATATCAAATTATGAGGATCAACGTTTTGCTGTGCCATCGGCATGCATGATTACAATAATGTAAATTGTAACTTAAATTGAATCCACCCGCTCGGTTGAGCGGGTCAAAATCTAGTATTAATTAATTTTTCATCAAATATCAAGAAATCTGTTATAATTTGGTCAGTATTTATTAGTCTAACTTGCTAGCCGATTTATAACAAACTAAAAAAATGCTGAAACCCATGGTGAATAACAAATTATCCTAAACGAAAATTTTATTAAACAAATTGTGTTGGCCCTGAGTCCCTGACAATGCTAAATGCTTATAGATTTTGGGCTAAGTGTGAAAGTATGAACCATTTAATTAAATATGAATTTTCCAAAGTCAAATTATACAAATAGGTCCATATATATATATATACTCACCCCCAACGACTTAGAAGACTTCATTGTTCGTTTTGTTTTCTTCTGGTCATATTTAGACCCTCACGTAACCATCATTGAGAACTAAAACAAAACTTAGTTACTTGTAAGTTTCGACTATGTAACATATTTTTCTTCAAAATCTAATTAATTAATAGCCCATGTAGACTAAATTATTAGATCGCAACTTATAAAAAACTAACAAATTGTGTTTTCATGGTGTAAACGTAAATCTATATCACTTTCATAGTGTAAACACAAGCCATTCAAGAACATGATTGTGATAACTTATGCAGAGAGTGCCTACAATATAGTAACGTCTTGACTGAACCAAGCTATAGAGAAGTGATCAGTCATGTTTGGCAGTAGACGACACGAGTTATAGATAACATGTAACTCTCTAGAAGAAGCATCCCACTAAAGATTTTTATAGCATTTAAGTATGACCAGTTAATTATAGGTTCGTGATGAGGCTAGCTGATATTTTCTAAGCCTTATATGCAATGATGTTTTGTGATTTCCACATATATCTATTTGACATATGTATTCTATTATGTCGCAAATAGATTAGAGCGTCATAGTAATGCCGTGCGTGGATATCATGAAGGACCATCACCATGTGTGTGTGTTAGAGAGAGGGAGAAAAGTAAATTAAGCAGAATTGTGAGGATCATTCTGTAAAGAATAGAACTTTAAAGACAAGGATATGATGTCACCTAACTTTCACTAGTTATCAAAAGTGTGTGTCCCCTTACTCAACTTGGGGGTTGCAACTTACTTAACACCCCTTCAGTCTCCTAACTTTATTGTAATCTTTATATATTATGAAACTATGCCGCATATGATATGGATTAATCAAACTAAAGTAGTCTCCTACTACAAAGAGTTAAAAATATTATATACTGCCATGCCTCTTTTGGTAACGGTATGCTTCGTCCAATTTAGAAATTTCGAATTCCCACGTAGGCTTAAGTTTTACCACAACTAAAATTTGAACTTGATAATTATAGTCTGTAGATTAAATTTTAATAAAAAGGAAACAGTAAAAGCAAAGTAGTAATTAAGTCTTGTGGAGACAGTCTACAAAATTATAGCAAGCTATCAAGTAGTTGATTCCTTTACGACTCAATCTTCATTTTCTGTGGAAATTCAATGTTTCGTAATATTTTTGTTCAATTTCCTGAACATTTGGAAATGGTTAAACCTACCATTTTCAATATGATATCACTGACTATGGACTATGGTTTAGATTTAGAGAGCATTTCCAATCAGATAATGTAATTAAACTGATATTTATCCTGTTCCAAAGACGGCTTGAATCATGCAGTTCTTATATTAATTGTATTCTTCCTTACCCAATGGAAACTCAAAGCTAGGCACTGAATATAAACTGACTGTTTCTAATGGTAGTTGCTCGTCGATATTTTTGTTAAATAATCAAGTACTACTCCTATTATTTAATGAAAATGGATAAAATAATCAAGCATAAACAGATAGACATCAAAGTATTAAAGAATATGCAAAGAAACAAGCATCTGATGTTCACATATGTCTAAAAGAGAGAAAGAAAAGGGATGTTATTAAGAAATAGTTAGACAGATAAGCAAAACGTATTAGTTGATGCAAAGGCACAGAGGAGAGAATATTCCTCCAACGGCAAAGGTTATAAGTTATACTAACGACTAAGGAGGCATGACCTCCAATTATTGAGACACACGTCAACAGCTTGAAACTTCCTTCTGATGTGTTAGCTGTAACGCGGAACGCGTTATTGCATCATTGATGAGTATGTCACCGCTCGATATTTATTCGTATGCTTAGCTCCCTCCGAATGTAATAAACTAAGTTAGTTGATGATGTAATTGTGGTTTTACAGCCTTATCGTTTACAAATAGCTGCGATTCAAGATTGTGTTATGTCCGGATATATGTTCATCTACATATAATTCTTTTTTTCAAAATTTACAATTTATCATTATTAACTACTAAAATATACTAAAATGTAAAAATACTATTTTAAAACATAATTTTTTGAAACATTTAGTATTACTTTACTACTAATCAAGTAGTCGTAAAAATATTGGATCAAATTGTTAGGTAAAGGAGAGGAATGGAGTCATGTGAAACGAGTTATGGGGGAATTAAATTTGGATTACATAAATAAATGAAAACATATCCGTACGGTGCTGTCGTACATGCTAACCTGCCCACTTCGACTTCTTTTTTCTCCCTTACGTGTCATACCGTACAAACTAACGTGACTATTCTTCGCAAATTTAATAAATGAAATAAAATAAATAACGAAATGAAAATTTCTGGGGCCTATTCTAACAATTGCCCGTTACGCCCGTTTGCTTCTTCTTTTTGTCAGCACGCCGTTTGCTTCTATCCTGCTCTCTCTTTCATTTTTTTTTTGCTATTTAATAGTTATAGTTAGCTAATGTCAAAATACTTTAGTCATCAATTGTAGGCTAAAAAATAGCTCACAGAAACCCTCTTATACGTTTCTAGGAAAACATGAAACCATCGTATACTCCTGCAGTCCTGCTTAAGTTTCTCAATCAAGTCATAACATTGCTTTGACACTTTGACCCTTTTTTGGTAATCGACTCTTTGATTCTTCAATGCTAACTTGTATGGGTAAAAGATTGGTAGAATCTTGGTTGGGAAGTGAGTAGGTTGTTTCATCAATATCTCAGTCCAATTGATAAATTATTTCACATGTAGTTTCATAGCTTACTTATTAAAATACTTCAATTAAGACGAGTGATTTTTGTTTACAAGTCAATAAAATTCAAGTCAGCAGAAAATAAATGCATTACAGCTTTTATTTACAACCAATTATTTCAAGAATATTTGAAAAATATTGTCGTTGAAAGACAAAGTCTTCCACACACATTTGTAAAATCCAAGAAGATTGTGCCTGCATCACATTTATAGCATAACAAGCTCTAACAAATACTACTAGTAACAGTCTTCTTTAAATGGTTGTAGAAAGCAGATCATTCTATTCACTCCTCTATATCTCTCTACGCATTGAATATTGATTAGTTTGGTGAAACATTAAACTAAAAAATTTCTTGGAACAGCAATGGCATATAGAGTTTCCACGACATAACTATGAAAGAAACTCAAAATGTTTGGCTCCAGACATGAAGAGACAACTCCCAAACGTCCAGACGTACACA